TTTCGCTACTAATTACTTCTAACAACGATATCTCAAAAACTATTCATCTGATTGATTTAGTGTAAAGAGCAATTTTAATCTGCATTAAATGACTAAGCTAACTAAAATATTCATTTGGATAAGGATTAATACCGAACTAAAGAAAATAACTTTGAAAATAACGTAATGTTTTTAATTAAAAATGTTAACATAAAAGTGGTTATTGTAAGTCAACCGTAAGAGATAGAGATATGCTATCGCGGACTTTTTTGTAGCATTTTTATAGATTTTGAATTCTCTAGTACATTACTTAACTGTATCTTTGCTAGTTTACGCGGCGTTCGCGTGGAAAGTTCCCATTTGGCGAGATTTTTTGCGACCTCTTCAACATTTGTCGCCGTATTTCAGCTAATTTACATAAAAGCATAATAAATTATATACCTAAACCTTCCTCAAGAATTACTCTTTCTATTGTTGAAAACCGTATAAAAATCCGTTCAGTAGTTTTCGAGTTTATCGCGTACAGACAGACAGGAGGACAGACAGGAGGACAGAAAGACGCGGCCGGGGGACTTATTTTTATAATTTATTATAATTATAATATAGATAGTATAGGTATGCTATAGATGTTTCTTTGTCAAGGTCTGCTAATTAATTATCTATAGGTATTAGGTACAGATAAATAAAATTAAAGTGTCTGTTTGTAATGTCGAAATAAAAGATTTTTACTAAATGCATATTGAATGGTGAAATTATATACGGTACATATAAGAAAAACAGTTTTTTAATTTTTTGTCTATCTGTCTGTATGTCTGTCTGTTTGTTCCGGCTAATTTCCAAAACGGCTGGACTGATTTTGAGGGGGTTTTCACTGGCAGATAGTTGATGCTATAAGGGATAACTTAGGCTATTTTTATTTTAGAAAAAGAAATATATTTCAAAAAAAAATACGCACCCGAGTGAAGCGAGGTTTAAAATTTATAAATATTTTTGCCTGTCTTAATATTTCAATACATTATAGATTTACTTAATTAGATCTTAGGCTTCCGGCTATTAATTTGAGTTTTTTCCGAAAAAAATACTGTGGCACGATCTATATACATAAGTTTCTAAAGACCAGTGGAGAGTAACTTCTGAGCAAGTTGGCACTCAGGAGAAGATCCTCCCTTGAAGCTTTTTCTCTCAATTTAGTAAGAAAAGTCAGACCGCTATTATAAATGCGAAAATTTTGTGTATGTAAGTGTATAATATGTATATACATATGAACAAGTCTTCGCGCTCAAACGGCTGGAATGATTTATATGAAATAAAAAAAACACAAATAATCTATGACCTGAAATAACATATAGGGTAGGTACAGCTAAATCACTAGTATCTAATAAATACAAGCGAAGCAACACAAAACAGCTAGTTTATCACATTAACAAAATTGACACTTATATATCTTATTAAATAAAACTATCTTTTCGGATTATTTCGCGGATTTATTTTGATTTTTGGTTCCCGACGTTTCGAATGCTTTACAGCATCCATGGTCACGGGAGAGACTGAGGTGTTACATGTCTTGAATGTATAGTTGTTACAGACAGCCTACCCACAATTAACAAAATGAAAAATGCACCAATTACATTACAATATTTTTAACTTTAAAACATTTTTATAATTTTAATTATAATTGAATATGGAAAATTATTTATTTAATTTTTGCTATTATTTTTTATAATTATTACAATTTTAAAATATTAATTAGTAATCTATATTTAGTGTTGCCATTATTATATTTATAACCATAAAGAAAAATATAAAATATAGTATTCATTTAAAAACAACTTACTAAGCAACACTATTAATATATACTTTTACAAATGAAAAACTTATATATTTGCAGTGAACTAGTCTACGAGTAATAGCTAATATTTGGTGGTCAGTTTCAATCAATTGCAACAACGAGTTTGGCCTAGGGTCATTTGAAGGGTAAGTATTGGACAGGTTTTAACAGCACTTGAAGGGCAACCGATCGATGACCACATAATTTGTTATTACCTGGGCGACAGACCTTCGCTCGGTGTTTTTCGGGACAGATAAAGAAATGCGTTTGCTCAAAAAAAGCACCTATACAGCACAAAACAAAACTATACAGTATACCTTAATGCAAAATATGATCCAAATCAATAGAGCCGTTTCCGACGTACACGAAATAAATTTATATCTATACAAGAATGCTAATTTAATGTTATAAATATACCTCACATGTGTTATATTAGATATGAAAGATATATCTAATTTGTATCCTGTAATTCTATTTCATTATTATATATGTACTTAAGTACGTTAACGTAAAAGAGTAAATGAAATAATAAAATAATACAATACAAAATGTAAATTATTTAACAAAGAACCCGCAAGATTTGATAATCCATACTTCCATACTAATATTATAAATGTGAAAGTGTGTTTGTTTGTCCTTCTTTCACGTCGAAACGTTGGCGTGATTTTTTGTGTGGAGATAGTTGAAAGGCTGGAGAGTGACATAGGCTATTTTTTATCGCGGGAGATTATCTAATTTCCACGGGAAAACACGTTATAATACAATCCAAAAAAATATTTATGATCAGAATTACTTGAAACTTGGTAACAATGCTCTTCAATAAAATTAAATAAATACGTGATTTAGCATTTTCCAAAATCATCCTATAAGGGGGTAAAATATGGGATGAAAGTTTGTATGAAACTACCTTTTCAGAAATTGTTTTATAGTTTAAGCGCGAGCGATGCCGCGGGTTCTGCTAGTATTAAATAAGGTTATTATATTACTAGCTAGTTTATTTTAAAGTATAAGTTATACTGTATTAATAAAAATGCAATTATTTAATCATTTTAAATAAGTATTTTGCACAAAAAAGGACATTTACCTACAGTCAACGGCTATGAGGTATTTGTATCTAATATCTACATATATATATAAACTACAACTATTTTTTTATTCAGTTATCTGTCTAGTCATGTTGTAGGATACCGCTATAGCAAATAGCGGGTTTGGACTGTTTTTAAAGTGCAGTGAAATCTTCCCATGACTTAAGAGATCTACATTGTGCAACGTAATGTACAACTTAAGAAATAGTTTTGATTAACGACTCACCCTCGCTCCGCCTGAGTTTTTCCCTAGTTACATTTAAAGTTTTAGTATAAATTTCTCAGAGATCAGATATTTTCCCGCAGTAAAAAGTACTCCATATGTTGACCCGGATAACCAGCTATCATCATACCAAATTTCATCAAAATCTGTCAAGGGATCCTCTCGTCATACGTTGCCAGACAGACAGACACACATACACACAGATCTCTTTTATTAAATAACTAAGTTGTCCACATAACATTTTCTTAGATTTAGGCGTATAGGTATGTTACATTTTAACACCGTTCAAAAACCGTCTATTGATAAAGCGTTTTACGGTTTTTTTACGGTACATTTATACGGTTTCTTAAACCAATCTATAAACAAGAATAAGATTATATGTGAAGCCTTGCCAATATCGCAGGAAGTAGGTTTATTGAAGATTCAAGTCAATCTAACCACGTAAAGCTAGCAAATAAACCTTTTAGGTTTTAAATTCACTTAGAAGCGACTAAGTCTGTACTGTACTTACTGTCTTATAATGTTCTGTCTGTTTATTCCATAAGAAAAATATGTAAAGCTAATAACTAGTTAGTTTTATGGTTCCGTAACCAAAGGGTGCCAACGGAACCGTATTACTAAGCCTCCGCTGTCCGTCCGTCTGTCCATCTGTAGCCTGACTGACAGATCTCATATATATCTCATGAACCGTAATAGATAGAGAGGTGAAATTTTCACATAGTGTGTATTTCTATTGCCGCTATAACAACAAATAATAAAAAACCAAGATGCCGATTTTCAAAAAAGCTGCCATGCAAATTAAAAATAAATCGATTATGGCACGGAACACTTTGTGCGAGTCTGACTCGCACTTGATCGATTTTTTTAATATTTATTAAAGTAAAAAATACAGGAAGAAAATAGAATATAACTACAAGTTACTTAACGACTCCTGCAAGAAACTAAATTGTACCTCAAGTTTTTTGTTGCAATTGGGACTTTAAATGTCTGAATAATAAATTTCTAATCTCAATACTAAGGTTAAAATATTGTTCTTTGCTGACATATAGGTATTACACTTTAAATATTTATAATTCTACGAATAAATAAACTTATTATTTATTCGTAATTATAATTACATTAATTACTGAAGGATATACTCAGACATTTAAATTTATTTCTATCTTTTTTAAAATATTTATAATTAGATTTTTTTGTTAAAATATAGATAATATGTATATTGAGTATAAATATAGAGTAGCAACGGTTATATTTTCCATATTTACTTACATACATATTATAACTAGAAAAGCATTAAAATGTTACCCGCTCTTTTGCAACTCACTGTGACAATGTGTCTTACCGACTGTTAGACGTTTTCGTATGCTTGTCTCAATAATCACTATAATGATATATGTGAAGCGTAATTTATAGAGCCTATTTACAATTTACATTGTATCCTCTAAGCATCTATTTTTGCAAGCAGGAAATTTTCGCACTTCAACGTTCAATAACTAAGATCTTTTATGGAATAATAATAAGGAAAATAATTACTGTAGCAATAGAATTGACTTAGACTTGATAGAGATAGAGATAGAATGTAAATTATCTGTTACTATGTTGTAAAGCCATTAAATTATAATTATGTTTAATTAATTCAGTTATTACACGATAATTGAACACTTAAACAATGTATATTCCAATTAAATAAAAATCATAAAAGTTGTTTTATTTCTTATTCAGTTTAAATTTGTTTGTAAAAAAAACTTAAATAGAAGTATTTTCCTTTTTAGTATTTTAAGAATATATTTAACAATATTCGACGAACTTCATGCCTTTTAAAGTTTAAAAAAATCGCTCGTACAAAATATACCTTAATAATAAAAAACCTTGTAATATTACTGACCTTTACTGTTAATGTCCCATAAAACCACGACGCAGCCGAGCCTGGCCAGGCGCAGAGCGATGAGGCTGCCGAGGCCACCGCCACCACCCGTCACTAGCGCTATACTCCCCTTCAAATCTTTCTTCGGATACCCAACTATAGTTTTATATATCCCTTTAATAACATGACCTATTGCGAACACCAAAAATGCGAGCAAATCAAAAATTGTTTGAATTGTAGTGTATTTGTCACGCATGCATTCTGGTATCTCTCTAGTCAATGGTCCAGGTCTCCCATTCAAGTACTCTTGGCTCTCCGTCGCCATTTTGAAATTGAATTTTTAAAGCTATAAATAATTTATATAGGTCATTCCTTGGTATTCGATGGTGGTCTGCTACTGTTTTGTTTGTTGCACTTATAACATATATGGCTCCCTAGACCTGTAACAATGGAAACAAATGCAAGTTAATACAATAAAACTTACACTATTTTAATATTTAATCTAGATATAAGTAATCATTTTCATGTAACTGCCTATCTGCCTAACTATCTTTTATTCATATTTTTATATAATGTGTTCCACTGACATATGAAAACTGTTAAATATAAAGAAATAATAATTTAACATGTGGAGTCAGTAAAGGAACACCGATGTAGAGTCGGCCTTTACGTTTTTTTTTTCATATAAGGCCGTAGCTAAAATGTGTCACATATTGTACCGTCTTCCTGTTCTGTACTTACACTTTTTTGAGTACTTAAAATTCGTATATTTTTTAGTTTCTAGCATCTGCTAAAACTTTATTAAAATAAATTTATTAAAATTTAAAATCTTTTAATTCATAATATTAAAGCGATACTGATACACCGTAGACTATTTTATAAAATAAAAATTAAACCGTATATTTTATTAATCTATACTAGCGACTCACTCTCGCTACATTCGGGTTCGTCCCTAAGTACGTTTGAACGGTTAGTATAGATTTCTCAGAGATGAAATATTTTCCCATAGTAAAATATCCTATACAATAACCCAGATAACCAGCTATCATCATACCAAATTTCATCAAAATCTATCCAGTGGTTTTTTTGTGATACTTTTCCACAGAGACAGACAGACAGACAATTATATGTATAGATGAATGAATAATGGAACTCTCAATGAAAAGAATTAGACCATTTATATGCAAAGAGTCAATTAAAATAATCGTTAAAGCCTTCAAGAACATTTGTTTCGTAATCGTATTCAAACATTCAATTTTAAATGTCACTTTGATTAATCTGTGCTCTGATTAAATGTATGAAATATGTAAATGTAATTTTTTAATGTATGAGATATATAGTTTTTAGAATTTTTGTCTGTCTGTCTGTCTGTTACCGCATCACGGAAAAACCACTGGAGGGATCTTTAATGAAATTTGATATGATGATAGCTGGTTATCCGGGTCAACGTATAGGATACTTTTTACTGCGGGAAAATACCTCATCTCTGAGAAATTTATACTAAACGTTAAAACGTAAGTAGGGACGAAACCGAGCCAAGCGAGGGTGAGTTGCTAGTTTTATAAATATATCTTACGTTGTTTTATGAGTATTTTTCATGATATCTTCGTCGATCATAAACTGATTATCTAAGTACCTCCACTTTGACCTATACATATCCATAAAAATGTACCAAATTAGGAAAAAGGCTAGTTAAACAGGTTTCAATTAAGAATATATCATGATTGTAGACATTTCTAACGAGTCTTTTGTTCTATGAAATAAGAAATACCTAGATGTATTCACCCGCAAACGTAAGCAGAGTATACGCTCTGATTAATATGGTGTAACCAACACTCCTCACTAATGTAAGTACCATGGAATTGTACCTACTAATTAAATTATTTAGAAAGACCAACCCAACACACCCTCTCTCCGCCAGGCTGTTGATATTATACATGACGTCTTGTTAAAATGATGAGGATGTCGCTGAGTTCGTTGTTTATACCAATATATAAAATGAAGCGTTTGTTTTTTGTTTAACACATTAATTAACCTTTGAAATTTCTTAGTTCACTTAAAAGTTAATTCGTTACATTATTTTGCCTTTTAAAGCCTATTCATTATGGAAGGTTATCATAATAATAAAAGCCATAGAAAATGGAGCATTTATACTGTATATGCTTAGATTACATATAACTAATAACATATAAATATATAAATAATCTAAGTGTATACGTAAACTGCGCGTGCGAATCCATGGGGAAATGCTAGTTATTTTTATTACACTTCTGTCCATTGAGCCACAGCTTAGCACCTGCTTCGATGGGAGGGGAGTAGCACTGTGATATGCCTGTATGTTTTTCAGAGTAATAAAACATCTGCTTTTGTTGTCGTTGATTCGAATCCCGTGGGGACATTGCAGTACCACACTAACATTTATAACGTAGCTATTAATAATAATACTACTTGGTTATTACATAATTATATGTATATATTTATATAAATATACGTACGATGACATATAGTATATAGTATTTATATGAGAAAAATATTTAATTCCTCATGTGTTGCTTACAATGTGCATATTATGTATATTTTTAATGACATCAATCACAAACGGTTTGTTTTTATATTGCCATATGGCTAATGAGGATTTATAAACAGAAATATAATTCCCATTGATAAATATCATTTGTTCGTCTAGAAGATAAATAATAATTAGCATATAAAAGGTTCTTACAAAGTGCACTATCATTATTATACCATATAAGTAGTTCCTTTCATGCAAAAATGCCATTAAAATAATACAGAGTAAACTTATTTATTTTTCTACAGTTTCGTTCGTAAAGAAAATTATATTTTTAATTCCAATTTTATATAAGTTCTCTTTGTACATATTGTTGTATTTTAATTTAGTACAGTATCTATAGGTACTTCTATACTGATATAATAGAGGCAGACTTTGTGTGTTTGTCTGATCGCGCCTCAGCAACTACTAATCCGATTTGAGAAATTCTTTTTGCGATTGATTTATCGAGGAAAGAAGGCTACATATCATCTCGGTAAAAAGTACGGTTCCCGTGGGATACATTTGTTTTTGTCTAGGGATGAACCCGAAGCGAAGCGAGAGTGAGTCGCTATATTTTATAAAACTGGATGATAACGAAATTCTTAGAAACTTCATATTTTGATCGAAACGATAGCAATAGAAATAATTCTCGCAAATTTATTATCTCCCAAATAGCTGAAAACTACAATTAAAAAAAGAACTATTATTTAATTTAGTTTTTAAAACATATCAGACAATATTTGCTTATGTAAATTACTAATAAAATCATTAAAATTACCTTGTTTACAATTTCTTATGGAATAAGAGAAGCGTCTAATAAGTACGGTCTCGGTATCTCTACGTACGAACGAAGTGTACTCCTTCAAACATCGAGTTGTTTCTCAATCCGCTATCGTCGGTCGGTGAACGCAACCTAGTATTGCGATAGCAGACAGTTGGGTGTACACCATCAATCAAGGTCAATGCAATAAAAATTGCATGTACCTGCTATAACTTATTATAGCCTGAAGGTATCTTTCATTAAAAGTTTCGTAGTTTAATATTCGAAGGTAATTAAACATAGGATAATGCACTCAATACGATCATAATTAATTTCTTCTATTATCTATACCTACATATAATAAAATTCTAAGTCGAATCTGTACATTAAATATTTTTTGGGAAAAACCACTGGAGAGATTTTGATGAAATTTGGTATGATAGTAGCTGGTTATCTGGGTCAACATATAGGATACTTTTTACTGCGGGAAAATACCTATCTCATCTCTGAGTTTCTACTAAACATTAAAACGTAACACTCTAAAATTTACTTTGATTTTCGCCTTAAAAACTGCCAGAATCTATATATATAAAAGAAAGTCGTGTTAGTTACTTCGCTTATAACTCAAGAACGGCTGAACCGATTTAGCTGAAAATTGGCAGGGAGGTAGTTTAGAGCCAGGAGAAGGACATAGGATACTTTTTATCCCGTTCGACCGCGTTCCAATTTTTATGATATTTTAATTTTTGGATTTCTCTTAGTCCGGAATAGGTAAGTATTAAAACATATAATTAAAATGTGAGAAAGAAAGATTTTTTCTTTTTATATCTATTTAAAACGTACCTAGCGACGAACCCGAGCGAAGCGAGGGTGAGCCGCTAGTTATTAAATAAATCTGTTATCTGAGTATGTAATATTTCTGTAAACGTGACAATTTTCTGTCACAAACTACCAGACATGATGATTATGCTAATTATAAATAAATTGTATACTACCTGACCGTCATTTCTTGGAGGTCTGTAATAAGGAAAACTATCGTAACTGTATTACCACGATTACCGTCTGTTATAACATGAATTTCTTTCATACTTCATCTGACTGATGACTAACGGGTCTGGAATTGGCTATATTAAGTAATATAGTATTAAAGCTTACAGCATGTTAAAAAGGCAACGGTTAACTAAATACTAGGTGTACCGGGCATTAATCCTATGAATATTTCATTTTGATATATTTCTATATACCTAAGTGGTTTAGTATTTAATAGCTATTGCTTATAAAAGAACCCGCTTGCTATAATGTAAAAAATATCATAGTTTTTAAAATATATAGTTTAATTGCTGTTCAATAAGGAAGATATATTTAATTTAGTATTATTTGTGTTTATTAAGTCCTTCTGTTTAGTAAGTCTCAGTAACAGCCCGGAGTTGGGAAGTAGACGGTGTCTCACCCCCGTGCCTCGGAGAGCACGTAAAGCCGTCGGTCCTGCGCCTTAACTCTCACCGGTTGTGTCGAGCAGTCGTCCTACCGGAGCATGAGACTGAAAGTGACAAGAATTGAGAGTGCACTTGTGTCTGCGCGTACACTTGTGCACTATAATATCTCCTGCGCAGATTGGCTAGTCTCAATGAGACTGGCCGCCGTGGCCGAAGTCGGTCGGGAGGTCATTATTATTATTATTTTGTGTGTAGATTACGTGATGTCTTCGCTAATTGTCAAACGGTTTTTTTGAATTCATTATTACATTATATTACATTATTCATTACAATATACATTATTCATTATTACATTATTAAAAAAATACTCTACTCCTCAAATGTACAATCATATACTTTATAGTGATTTTCGAGTCAGTAAAATTCTATTTTATTAGTTAGTTGGATAAGAAAACCATATTTTGTTATTATTAACCTAATAAAGCATTTTCTTATTTTGAATTTAAAGAGTACCTTATATCTAAGTATTTAAGCTACAATTAATTCAGTTTTTGTATAAGCGAGTTCTATGTTGATAA